GTTGTATGGGCGCTGTGTCGCCATAGCTATTGGAAGTGAACTCGTATCTGGGTTGCCATATCTCTGAGTACTGAGTGGGCGCATGTCGCCAGTTTGCTGCGCTACTGTTTGCATGCATGTAAAGTGTGAATGAAAGCGAGTCTGATTGCATTATTGAAGAAATCCCTAGTCAGCAAATAGACAGTGCTTGAGTAATAAATAGGACAATGAATAATCAATACTTAAAGATGCCCTGTGGTTGGTCGGGTTTGTCTGAGGTAGGGTGTGGCCAGAAAAAAAAGTGGCAGCGCTCCCCCTCCCCGCTTGGGGATCGGGGTAGCGAACATGAACTGAGGTAGTGCTACACGGCAGGTGCTGAGGTAGGGTACGGTCAAAAAGGTAAAAGGCAGCCATCCTTCTCTCCACTTGGAGCACGAGGCGGTGAGAAGCTGAAGTGGTAACGTTGTGTGACGCTCTGTTCCGACAAGGAATACCTCTATCTCTGTCGTAATGAGCTCAGTGCGGCCAGAAAGGTTAAACTTGATGGGCGAACAAAGTTGGCAGTTTGCTTATGATGGAGGGGAGGTGGTGAAGAGGAGAGGTGAGAGGTGATTGATTGGCGGGGGTAATGGAACAGAAATGGGGGTGGTGAGAAGCAGCGTTGGTAGGGGGTGACAAGTTATGTTGGACAGGATGGGAAGGATGGGCCCTGAGCCGGGATTTCCGAATGAGAGAGTGGGGTGGTAGAGAGTCGGGTGGTATAGAGTCGGGTGGTAGAGAGTCGGGTGGTAGAGAGTCGGGTGGTAGAGAGTCGGGTGATAGAGAGTGGGGTGTTACTTTGTCTGTTGCTGATGGGGAAATTTGGCGGGAATGATAGCGGGTTGGCGAGAGTGATAGGTCCATCCTCTCCTGCTACTGAAGAACTGCCTGACCACCGATGGTTCCTAATACTCGGGACTGCTAATAGGACGAGTTAGTCTTTTGCAGAGGCGACGAGGAAGCTCCTCTTTGGCCAGATCTTATATGACAAATCAATCTTTTGCAGAAGCGACCATGTTCTACCTGTTCGCTTTGTGACCGCCGTGATTCGGAATTGATAAACGACAGGAGCTGTAATGAGAATCGTTTGTCTGATTCATTGGCTAGCCTTTACTATACTTAGGCTATGACCCCCATTAATTCGCGCATCGTTTGAAGATCTCCAGCTTCTATGGATGGTTGTCGTTCTCCTCGTCTTTGATACTTGCTCCTTCGCCTGTCCTTGTGCTGTCCTTTTTGAGGTCTTTTGCGAACCGTTGGGATGGCTGGAAAGAGGCATGTCGAAAACTTTTTTTTTTTTTTTTTTTTTTTTGGAAGAATCAAGAACTTTTATTACCAATGGAAAGAGGCCGGGAATACCTCACAAAACAACCCGGAAATTCTGGGGCCATTACCCAGCTTGGCTCTGCTGGAAACCGGGTCCAGCGTCCCTCAACTTCCATTCTAATTAACTCTTCCAAAAACTAAAACCTTGAAGCTCTGCAAAAAAGGGGGGGACAACTGAGCTTATAAAATGACTCCAGGAGTCCAGGACTCAAAATCTGCAATTTTTACTGTCTCCTTCCTGAAAGTCCTATACATGATAAGCCTTCTCAGTGTCATCCGTTCATGGCGGTTTCAGCCATCTTGAGATCACTAGCTTTCTATCCCGCGTCACTGCTGCCAGTTGGTTCCCTCTGGCCCATGTCCTCAGGAACCATAGGTAGCCTTTTTTCCTGCTTATAAAGCAGTTCTGCCAGTCCGCCATTATCATTCTTCTGATATTAGAACAGACTTGCTTCCGTTGCTCGTGAATTGTAATCTTAGTATCAGTAAAAACTGCCGAATTTCTTGCTCTCCAGATTTCTTGTAAGAGTACTCCTCTGCAAACCAGTGCAACATACCCCCATCCTTCTCTGAGGGAGGCCTCTTGTGTTGACATAATACCATACAGTATCCAATCCTCAGACCACGGCCAGGAACCACCAGTAACCAGGTCCCAGTGCCTGATCCACCAGATCCAGAGCTCGTCTGCTAATGGGCAGTACAGCCATAGATGAGCATTTGACTCTCACCCCCATTCACACTGTTTGCATGTGATTGATATTTCCATGCCCTTCTGAGAAAGCCAGAGGGCTGAAGCTACCACCAATAGAGACTGAAGCCAGAGTAAGCTGGCGTCCTTCTGAGAAGGCATCAAAATCAACCCTTTCCAAAAGGACCCCCAGTTTGGTTGTCTTATCGATCCATTCTTAATTCTCTCCAGCCTTTTACTGGCTAGTATTTTAGGCGTGTTTTGAACCGTGGCCTGTAAATATCGTACCCCCGTCTTGGGTCTGTACTGCCACAGTGGAACCAGGTCTGTGTGGTTTTGTGTGTTCTGTGAAGCCCAACCCTTAGTGCATGGTTGGTCTGTGTGGTTTTGTGTGTTCTGTGAAGCCCAACCCTTAGTGCATGGTTCTACTCTAAACTCAGAGGCAGGTCCCAAGAATCCTGCATTCTTTCTATCTTTAGTCAACAAAACTCTAGGTCCTTAGTCGAGTGGACCGTTCTCTCTGCGAGCTGTAGGAGCTTAACTTGTTTGTCTTGCCCATACCGAGTGGACACCGGAATCTGCCACTCTTCCACCCTCTGTCCCCCGGCCAAGTCTGGGCCCAATATTCTCCATACTTTCCCTTGCGTCTCTTCGTAGAAGACCCATGCCCCTTCTTGTTGGTCTGAATCTTGTTTCAGAAGGTTAACCCAGTTGCTGGGCATGGCTGTTTTTAGTAACTTCAGATTGCGACCCACATTTCTCAGACGGGGGAGTTTTCTACACAGATGTTCTTCGGAAATCAGGTCTCCGATGTCGGTGTCCCAAATATCCTTGATCTGAAGTACCCCTTTTTAGATCCACGCTCGCCCAAAACCACCTGTCTCTCCTCCTGCTGCAAACCCTTCTCCATTAGTCTGGGAAATACTTTGATTGTCAAATAATACCTGATTTAGCACTTCACCTTTTGAGGATGGCTGATTGAAGTCTCGAGGTAGGATTTTGTTCCAATACAGGATATTTCTCCATACCCTGGATTTTGGTCTGCGGTTCGAATAAGAGGGACGCAGCATGCACTGCCAGACCATTTCTGGCTTCGAGAGATCCCACTCTGTAGATAGCACATACTCCGCCAGGCGAATCCAAAGTTTTGAAG